CCATCACATGGAAGCGTTTGTCTTTGACCACTGAATGCGTCAAGTTGAGGTTTTGAGGTGGTCAGAATGCGCTCTGTTGGAGGAACGACGAGTGACGAATGAGTCTGCTCTTCACCAGTGCATGAGCATCGCCACTCCACACAGGCGATCCACCACTGATAATCCGAGGCTATTCGACAATATCGCGGGGCGAAGTGGAGGAAGGGAGGTGCGTGGCGGCAGTGTAGGTGGAGTCGCATTTAGCCAAACAGGATTGTGCTGCCGTTGATGCCTTACGAAAATCCAATTGTGTCGTGCGAAAGAGGAGAATGGAATAGATAGGTGTGGAGGCAGAATCCCTTTTCTTCACCAAATCGCTAATTGAGATGGAAGGATGTCCAACAAGGCAATGGTTAAGTGTCGAAACCGGATTTCAGGCTGATGCTACTGCCAACTAACAAGGTAGACAATTGGCTGCTCCAGCTTCGCTGTCAGTAGTTCAACTCTCTCCACCGTCATCCACTTCTGAAGCTGATCTCGTCCTCCTCCTCCTCCTTCTCCTCCTCATTATCCTCTACTTTCAACCACGCCAACACCACGCGTCACTGATGCTTGTGTCAACGACGCCCACTGCCACTTCTTCCTCTTCTTCTCCAACGCACGGCTGCTCCCCGCCTCACCGTCACCAGTCTCCTTTACCCTCATGCGTTGCGTGGAGTGCTGGAAGAACGAGAATGATCAGCTTCACGACGGCTATTGCTCCTGTGTAGCAGTGCCAACGAAGTAAGCAAAAGAGCACTTGATTGAATCGCACAGCAGTGCACTTAGTGGAGGAGGAGGAGGAGGAGGCAAAACTGGCGAGACAAACGCACTCACACTTGCTTAATTAAATCAAACGAATTTGAGAGTTGTGGCTGCTTCGCCCCACCACACACTACCCACGTGATGCAGTGCAACAGCCTCGAGCTAGGAAAGCGAGGCATCAAAGCAATCTCGTCCTCGACGCCTCCCACCTTTCGCCTCATCAGCCCACCCAACGTCGCCGCATTGCAGAGGAAGGAAGCAGATGCTGCGCCTCACAATAAATGGTGCGGAAAACTTGCGATGGTGTGAAGTCGGTGCTGTAACCTTCAGGTAAGAGGGTGGGGAGAAATAAATGACCTTCTCGAATGGCAACTAGGACGACTTAAAGTCCATTTTGCCGTGTACATGAAGGTGAAGCATTGCTTGATGCGAAGTTGCGTAGACAGGCAATGACGAGAAAGAACTGCCTTTAACGAGGATGATCTCTTTCGTCTCTCAGGGTAGCTTTATTCAATCTCTCATTCAAACTGACAAGCACAACACTCGGACAAGAGAAGAACCTCCGACTCAATGCTCGCCAATCGGATGTCATTGTATGGGTCGGAAGTGGGGCGCAGTTCTTCAAACTCGAGTGTCCACGTGGTGACAGCAATTGGCCTAACTTGAAGTGCCAATCTCGCACTACGGAGGTGTCAAGTCAAGACGAGTAGGAGGTGGTGAGAGAGTTACTCGTTGAGGCAAGGAGGGGAATGATGGTGGAGAGAAATGCATGGGAAGAAATGGCACGTAAGAAAGTTTGGCCATTAGGGAATGCCATAGGAGGCAGGGGTGGAGGGACAGACCATTCTCCACGATCTGCCAAAGAAGGGAGGAGAGACGCGTTGCCGTGGAAGGTCGAATTTGGCATTGGTGGTTGGTAAACCCGAAGCCATCATGCAGAATCAACCCAACACTACACATGACCGCAAGAAGAGCCACACCACGGTGAGTCAAGTGAGCACGCTGAGTGGCAAAGTCTGGAGAGGCAAAGCGGTGACCACAGATTGGACGACTATTTGTTTCTCCCAATGATAAGGTGGTTGACGGATTTCGCGTTGCATGGTGGGGTTGGGTGTGGAGGTCTCACTTGTCGTCTTCAAGGCAGTGCAGCTGCAGTCGAGCACAGCAACGCACTTTGTGTAGGACGATGTGAAGCTGACTAAATGATGGCGAAATGAGGGATGCAGGGAGGCAGACGTGTACAGTTGGCGTGCCAACCGACTGCGAGACACGAAGGCGCAACCTCGAGGCAGTGTCACAAGAATGCACAGTTAGAATGGAAGACGGTACAGGATGTCTTGCAAACCTGATGAGATGGCAGGTCCAGCTACAGAATTCGGGATGGGAGAAGG